GAGAGAGAGAGAGAGAATAGGATAATTAGACGCGGGATTTCCCACCCGCGGTTGACTTCGGTATACGACGACATCGATTCCGACCAATCGCCTCGTAAACGGACGATAACTGCCCCCTAGCCGTTTATCGGTCTCGTTCAATTAACGGTCTCTCCTTATCCGGGCCCCCGATTCCCCCCTCCTCCTTTTTTTTCCACGCATCTCGGTAAATCGCACGCCCGGCAAAATGGCGGACAGATGACAACAACAACAACAACAACAACAACAACCTTCGTGGCCGTTCTTCTTTTATCCTTCTCCTTCGTTCGTCGCGTAACCGCGACACGATCTTGAATAAACGAAAAAGAAAATGAAAATGTGCAATTTTGATAAATCGCGACGTCTCTGATATTTATTGGAATCGAAACGTTGCGGGAAATAAAATATATATATATATATGGTATACGTAAGAATGAAATTATTTTAGTTTAATCAGAGTTGGGTTAATTAACCCAAACGTTGAAAAAAGTAACTAGTTAAACGTCCGAATAATATTACGTTTTCAAACAATAAATTATTTTTAACTTCGTAATTTCAACTATTAGCGTGCAAAATTATATATATATATATATATCGCGATTAAATGATAATAATAAGCAGACAAGTAATTGAGGAATTATATATGCGAATTCTCGCTTTGCAAGAGGAATTAACGTAGGATTCGTAAGATCGGTGCGAATTCCTCCTTTAAGATTAAATTGGACTGGAAATGTCAGACGTATATTGTACACCAACATTTCTCCCCACAAACCTCTCTCTCTTTCCCTACGTATTATCGTTACGAATCTTGCCTCTTGATCTTATCGAGAGTTTCGAAGAGCGTCGCGTCCGCCCGATCCTTGACGCGGACCACTAACCATTCACGTCCCGTGAACCGTTTACCTGCACTCCTCGACGCTCGAAATATGGATCGAATATTTTTTTTTCACGCGATTCCTTTCAATGCCAATTCGTCTCTCTGTTTACTTTCAATTTCGAAAAAAAAGATGGATGGATGGATAGATAGATAGATAAATAGATAGATTTTATCAATTTGTTTTCCAGGACGAGGAGGAGCGAAGGAGGATGTCGAACGATGAGGAGAAGCCGTTCGCGGTGGAGAGGGCGAAAAGTGGGCGGGCCAAATGCAAGAAGTGCAAGTGTCCGATAGAGAAGGACACAGTGAGGATCGCCAAATTGGTCGCGAATCCGTTCACGGACGGCAAGATGAAAGCGTGGCATCACTTGACCTGCCTGTTCGAGGTGTTCGCGAGGCAGAGGGCCACCACTAAAAGGATAGACGATCCCGCGGTGGACGTGAGCGGGTGGGAGGATCTGAGCGAGGAAGACAAGGCGACCGTCCTTCGTATGATCGAAAAGTTCGAAAAGGATTCGAAAAGTAAGAATCTTCTCTTCTTCTTCTACCTCCCCCCTCTCTCTTCCCATCCATCGATGATCTCGACGCCCGAGAGACGAGAGAGAGCCTTTCTCGTTCTTCATCTTTCTCTCCTCGAATCAAGCAGTTGACTTAACAATAAATACCGGAGGACCGGTCGATAAAGAAATTCGACGCCCGAGAGACGAGAGAGAGATATTTCTCGTTCTTCATTTTTCTCTCCTCGAATTAAATAGTTTAACTTAATTAGTTAACTTAAGAATAAATACGGAGGACCGGTCGATAAAGAAATTCCACGCCCGAGAGAGAGCCTTTCTCGTTTCATCTTTCTCTCCTTCTCGAATTAATAGTAAACTTAAGAATGTATACCGAAGGACCGGTCGATAAAGAAATTCGAAAATATTTCTATCGCGATATAATTTGTTTATCGAAACATTTGTTTTTCCATTCTTTTTTTTTTTTTTTCTTCAGATCACACTCCTAAGGGGAAAGGGGTGGAGGCGAGGAAACGCAAAAGTGAGATTGGCGCGGAATCCGATCCTTCCCCGAGCAAAAAAACGAAGAAAAAGAAGAAGAAGAAGAAAGAGGAGAAGGATTCGGTATCCTCGAGCGAGGAGGAAGAAACGGATAGCTCCTCGGCGACGAAGAGCCCGGAGAAGAGGACGACGAGAGACGATTCGTTCGAAGAATTTCAACGGGTTTGCAACGACGTGGCAAGGGTGGACGCGTACACGGAGAAAACGGCCGTCGTGAAGAGGATGTTCAACAAAGGGTCCGAAGGTGGTAAGTTCAGTTTTGATCTCTGAATTATTAATATAATGATAATCGAACGAAGATCAATTCTTTCGTCGAATTCGTAAGATTCGTTTTCCAAATTGCTTGGATTGATTCGACTTGTTGTTGGTATCCTCGATATCTATCTGATTTTATTATGAAACGAGTCGACGATGATCGGTCTATGAATATTTCTCGATCATCCGTTTTTCTATCTAGAACGACCGTCCCCGAGTCGTATGTGTTGCGTGCATGCGTGTATGTATATACTTACTCGACTGTTTGAAAGTGTCTCGGTCGTTATGCTTTTCTCTTTTCCCGATGTTTCGATCTTGTCGTCAGTCACGGGGGAAAAAAGCTCGATTCGAAAACGATTTATCGTATGTCTCGTGATATCATCCAACGGTATCACTGATGATCTCGGATCACTTTTCGTTGGTGATTCTTTTCCCTTTCGAAGGAAAATGAAACGTTTCGTTGTTTCTTTCTATTATTATTATTATTTTTTTTTATTGTTATTTTTATTATCGTTGTTTTTTTTATTATTGTTGTTGTTAGTTGTTTCGCGAGAAGCGTGAAGGCTAGGTGGCTCACTACACATTCACCGTTTCGCGACTATTAGTCTCGAAGGTTGGTGCTCTGGTGTCTTATAAGCTCAGCTGTCCCCACCTAATCAAGTTCGGTTCGTAGACGCGGTGTCGAGCCCCTTCTCGTGCAGCCAGCTTGGCTCCAGACGCTCGCCCATTCTTTCCCTCTTTCTTCACGCGCCTCTTTCTTCCCTCCCCTCCTAGTTTATCGCGCGCTAGACTCGCGTCTCCTCTCTCTCTCTCTCTCTCTCTCTTTCTTTTACTTTTTACTTTCCTTCCTTCCTCCTCTCTCTCTCTCTCTCTCTCTCTTTTTTATCTTCATTGTCAATCACGACAATGAGCAGACGCGTTCGATTTCGCGACCTTCCAATTAATCTTTTTCTCTCTTCCCCCCCCCCCCCCTGTCCCCTCACGCCTCTCTTCTTTTATCGATAGATTTTCACGGGGGGCTTGATCGCGATTCGATTCTCAACTACGACTATCTGTCGAGCAAAGTGAGTATAGGTATATCGTCTACGATAACTCACTATCACTTTCTCGCTCGTTGTTTTTTTCTTTCTTTTCTTTTTTTTTTTTTTTTTTGGATAGGATGAAAAAGCCTATCCCCTCTTCTTCTCCTCGAGAGGAGAGGGATCTCGAGAAATTGGCGAGTTCGAATTAATAATCAGGGTTTTGATTAGAGATTGAAAATTAAGAGGAGAGGGGAGAGGAATTTATTAGTCCCCGAGTAATTAACCGTTAACGATAAACGAGACCACAACCTCTCCTTTGATATTTCGAGAGTCGACGAA